GGAGCTTTGGGAAGTCGCTTTAGTCATGGCGTGTTAGTGAAACTGCCATTTGACTTCCTCCTTCACACACCTCCATCGATTAGCACCGGGGGAATCCTTTCCCACACACACACAGAGTGGAAAAATACAACACCGCAACAGCGCTCGAGTGTTTTCTTCTTGTAATGCTTTGTAATCTGAAAAAGGCCGCACAACCATGTGCATCAACCATTCGTTTCCAGGCTTCTGAGAAATCGGGAATTTGGGGATTTGAGAAAAAGTTGCAAAGATCCTGTAAAGTGGAATACGGGGATTTAATTCGAAATACATTCGAGATGCTTTGAGCCTGTACCGGGGTGCATGGATGTTTGCTTATTCATCCATACAACCCTTACACCGCGCCAGTCCTCCTCCATCCTTCCGGCATTCTGGCTTGTATTGATCAGCACGCGCGGTGAACTCGGCCGCACTTGTCGGGAGTGACAGGTAAACTCGGGGAATGTCGAGTAAATGCCTTGCTGCCTTGTTTTTGTCAAAAAAAAAAAAAAAAAAAAAGTAAACGAATAAATGAAATAGCGGTATCTAATCCATCTAACCGGCGACGAGCGCCTGGCCTGGAAGCCTCGCTGCGGTCGCTTTTCATTTGTATGCCGCACGGCTGAATGAAGAAATCCGTGAATATTCCTTTTTCTTTTTCATAGGTTTTTTTTTTTTTTGTTATTGTTGTTATTATATTTCTCCAAAAGTGCCATTGAGAAGGCCTTGAAAATATCTCAGTGAAAAAGACGACCCTGAATGAAATAAGTTTCATTTGAATGAGTTTGGACAAGGGGCATTCAGTCGTTTGCATGAAGTAGCCTGCGGGTCACGGTGATTTTCGAGGGCCTTTGTCCGAGCCATTTGAAAATGTGAACAGTGCCAGAGATTTGTTGAAATAAAGTGATTTGTTTGCCTCGTTATTGTGAGAAATCCTCGACAAACACCATTCGTTATAAACAATAACATGTAGGGATGCAACAAACGATTATTTTAATAATCAATGAACTCATTCAATGCTAAGGATGCTTGTTCACGTTTTTTTTTTTTTTTTTTAAAGAATACAGTTTTCAATCCCAGGCACGCCTTTATGTGTTTTTACATTTTTTTCCTTCGAAAAATGGTCTGAAAATCGCTGCCATGGAATGAGTTAATCTGTCGCTTATTTTGCTGATGAATCGATCAATTGGATGGACCCCCCACCCAACCCACCCCCGCAGGTTTAAATCTCCATCCCTTTGTTCAAGAATTTAATTCAAAGTGCAGAAAATATACAACAATCAATTATGACTCCGTTACTGGGTTGGTCTGTAACGTGTAGGTTGTGGTTTTTCAAAGTAAAAGTAGTTGTGTTATTTTGATTCAACCCAAAGACAATCGGCAAAAATGGAGAGCATTTGAATTAAAAAAAAAAAAAGTGACAGCCCATTAAGGTATCGAAACGATTCATCGATTAAAAAAAAAGTCATTTGATAATCGATTAGTTGTCGATTAATCATTCCACCTGTGATAATCTAAAAATAAGATTTTTAACCAAAAAGTAGCTCTCAATTCCCAAAACTTTGGTGAGACTTTGAATTAGCGTGTTGGAAAAAGTTTGCCCTGAAGTTTCATTTGTTCTCAATCGGTGACTTCACGAAGACTTCAACTGTGTTTCCCGCCAATGTTGACGCGCTCGTCGCCGTTTCAGCACTTCGGGAAACGTCAACACGGAGTGCTGGATCGGACTCGCTCGAAAATACACGTCGAGGGCGTCGAAATAAAGAGCGGTCGCAATCCAGCCTCAGCCGACGATTTAGTTGTCACAGCCGACCACCCACCCGGCATTTGGCTGACCGAGAGCGGGACTGCTCTCTTTCTAATCAACTCAAGGGGTTTTGGGGAGTGCGGTTGCGGGAGGGGTCACGTGGGAAATGGCTGGCTGTTCAAGTCTAATTCATGCACATATAAATAACTGTCACCGGCGCCGCTAATTAGATTAAAAAGCTCGGCGGAGAGTGGGGGGAGCCGAGCTGGAGAGGCCGCACGACTTGATTTGTTGCCTGAGGAAATACAGATTCCGATTTATTTTCATCAGTCGTTGGCCGTGCTGCAGGTGGAAAGCACGCGCCGAGCTTACCAGCAGGGGTGAATCGCGACATGGACGTTTCGCACCTGTTAACACTGAGAAAGGCATTTTATGCTAAGCAAAAATATGGAGGCTAAAAATTGAGGGTGGCTGCAAAAAAAAAAAAAAAGAAAACTTCAATGAAAGGATGCAGGGAAAAGTAATGGACTGGACGTACCTGGAATCTGTGCAGCGCCTGCAGTGGTGGGCGGGGAAGGGTTGAGGAAGGGGTGGTGGGGGGGGGCAAAAACAGAAAGGGAACGTTAGCATTCAGAGATTTATGATCACTTGCACGAAGGCTCATGCTGCTCACATATAAATAAAAGCAAATGCTGGAGGGAGGGACCCGCTTTCGTGCTGTTTCGCCACTGAAAACGCAAATGGTTCATCATTAAAAGCTTATTAGAGAGACGGCCGGTCGTTGACCTTTGAATGTAAGCAGAATAAAAAAAAAAAAAAAAAAAAAAACACATTAAAAACCACAAGGGGAAATTCCG